CGCCGCGCCCTTAAGACATGGCTATTCCAACAAGCGGGACTGGCCTAGGGCAATTTTTAGAGGGGTTTTAATTATATTTTAATCAGACAATATTTAAATATTTCTTTTTAATTAATTTTAATTTTGTAATTGTTATTGGTGTTTTTTAATCGATTGTCAGCCGCCCTGAGTCCGCAAGGAGAAGGGCGGGATATAAATTCGAATAATAAATAAATAAATAAATAAATAAATTATATTTTCAAAGTTATTTTGGATTTCTTTGTAGTTTAAAGTCTTTATTGTTTGAATTAATTGCAGTATGTGAAATATTTATATTTATATTTTCTTGATATGTTCTTTCTACATGTCTCTGATCCATGATGGCCAATAATTTGAGTTTTTCTCTTCCTTTCTTTTCTCTGCAAATAGTGTTAGAGTCCCAATTAAATATATATTTGTAATCCAAATAGTTCAAAAAAGATTTTTTTCCCTGAAATTTATAATTCTCTTTGTCTACAGCCCAGATTATTGTCTTTTTTTGTCACAGCTGTTCTTTGTTGTTAAAACTTTGAAGGTCACAAACACAGATTAGCTTTTCCCAGATTTTGCCAAGTCTTATATTAAAGTCATAGCTGTCATAGTCTTCATCCACCACTAGATGTCAGCAACTATTTGTTTTTCAATTTCATATTTTTTGATCCTCCATAAAAAGATTAATTTGCCGCTTCCGTTAGTATAAGGGTGGGGCGGAAATCCCCTCCTTCCCTTTCAGAGGTATTTTGCTTTCCAGGAAATTAAATGTAGAATAGAAAAGAGAAGATCGAATTCCTCACCCAGTTTCAAGCACACTGTTCACAGTTGTGCTGGTTAGTGCTTTTGGACTTTGGTTTCTAGTAGCTTGGGCTGGTCGATGCAATACAGCCAGCCTTTCTCCTGTCGGGTTAGAAGGCTTTCCCAAGTCGAACGGAACGGCTGCAGCCGTTCTAGAATTGCTGGAGCACCCTTCTTTCTTCGTCGCCTCTACGGGGCGACTTAGACCCATTTAGGGTCCCAGGCAGGGTAAAATTAGCCGCAGGGGGTGTGGAGAATCTGCAAGCCCGCAACCAGTTGCTACCGCACCTGTATACAGTAATTGTTTTATGCACCTCTCCTTTGCATATACTCTGTAATCACAACTTAGCATGAATGTACTTTTATATACTGCAGTAATTTTTAACTCTTCTTAAAGTACATTTTTTTACCTACATTTCTGGCTGACAACAGATGCCAACAATTTGCATTGATTGGCGCCATATATCTCATGGCAGAATCTAGTCACAGCAATTTAAGCAAATTCATAGCATTTTAGGATAAAAGATATCTACGGACATTTATATCTCTAGTTCACATTAGATGTTAATGCTTTATGGATCATAGTACATCACTTAACCACTTAGCTTAACATAGCAAACACATGAATAGCAGGTACTACAACTTATTTTCAAATTACATTGTCTCCCACTGCAAATCTTCCTTTCAGTTGAGGTATCTTGGAACTGCATGCCCTTCAGAGACTACTGTAGCTGGAATCCAATATTAGTCCATTTAAAATAGCTCAACACTGCCATCTAGCTTTGTCAATGAGATATTGCAATTTCAGAAAAGGATAGAAATAAACCATTTATAAAATAGAAATTCCCTGAAATCTTTAATATATGTATTATTATTCCACCCTTTTAAAATATTTGGTCAACAAAAGGTAGAGAACATACTTAATACTCCTGCCTCCTATTTTCCTCACAATAATAACCTTGTGAGGTGTGTTTGCGGTGAGAGACTGACCCAATGCCATCCAACTGGCTTTCATCCCTAAGGAAGCCTAGAACTCAGTCTCCTAGTTTTTAGGTTGGTACATTAACCCTAACATCATAATGGTTCTCTATATAGTTTGCTTTAGTTTTTCAAGAAAACAGAAATAGTTCACCATTGCTTTTTTCATGATTTTCCATTAAATTTAATCTTGGGATTTTATAATCTTGGAATTTTAGGGTGATTTCCTATTGAAATATTAAGCAGGACAGTTTTTTAAAGATTTTCTAGATGTTGCCATCTTACCCAATAATTTAGCCATCTAAATTGTTTCATTAAAAGTTTAATAAATCTTTTCCTGCTAGCTGCCTGAATAGCCAAGAGTCTATCTTCTAAAAAAGACCAATCTATTGTAATCATCTTTTTTCACTTTAATGCAGGGACACACATTTTTTTCCTGTCAAGAGTCATACAGTGTTTGAATGATATAACAGAGATACATTTCAGTGTGAGACCAGGACAATAGCTAAATTTATTTTCATTTTATTTACATTTAATGAAAAACAACTGATAAATTTATTCTCAAATCATTTATTTCCTTTTATCACATCAAAAATGGCATAGTAACAAAAGGCATGCTGCAGGCATCATTGGCCAGGGCCAGGGATCTACATTTGGTGGATCCCAGGAAACATGCTTTCTCTGTTATGGTGCCCACCTTATATAACTTCCCTCTCACAAAATTACACTGAACTCATCCTCATCTTGACATTCCATAAGTACATGCTTATATGACCAGGCCTGGAGCTCCCAGGGAACCGGAGACTTGGCTAGATGGTTCCAGTGTTGAAGGGGGCATTTCTTATTCTCCCTCCATTTTGATTGTATTTGGGGTTCTTAAAGATATTTATTACTAGGATTTTTCAAATTTGTACTCATTGTTTTATATTTTTCATCTATTGCTGTGCACCATTCAAAGTCGCCTCAATGAAATGGGTGGCTATGTAAATTTGAGAGAGAGAGAGAGAGAGAGAGAGAGAGAGAGAGAGAGAGACAGACAGACAGACAGACAGACAGACAGACAGACAGACAGACAGACAGACAGAGAGAGGGGGGGGAGAGAGGGGGAGAGACAATCTTTGGGAAGAATCTATTGGCCATAGCCAAGACTTTCCAGCCTCAGACTATTTACCTGTGGCTTAGTGGATCACAGTATTGTAGCTGAAATTTTGATTTTTTTTCAGAATGAAAATGAAAGAATCAAAGATTACATATCTATATTTCTTATCTGCAAAAAAGTAGGAATTAAAGTATCAAGTAAGATTTGCAACAAAGTGTTGCAATGCAGTTTCACTTTTTAAGTAGAGTGCAGCTGTTTGCCTCTCCATTTTATTTTGTTTTCTTATATTAGCACTCACAGAAAGAAAGATAGGAAACAATATTTCAAAATACAATACAAAGATTCTTTATTGCATGACTAAAAAAATACCTAATGACTCTTACCTTAAAAAGATAGAACTTGTGGTCCACTTGTCCTAGCTTCTCTTGCAATCGTAGAATTAAATGTACAACCTGATCTTTCCGTGACTGTGTGATGAGAGGTTCTGCTTTTCTAATATCTTCTACTAAGGCTTCTACATCAGTTCTAAAGTACATTTTAAAACACATTTTTCATCTTCTGACAAACACTCAAGAATGCTGTTCAGTTATCTTAATTAGATAATTGTTCCTATTCTCAACATCCATCATGCCAGTGTTGGTTTTTCTGGGAATGATGGAAGCTGCAGTAAATAATGTTAAATTAAAGTAAACTCAAATTTGAAGTTGAGTAAGACATGCTTCTTTAACATACGGAATATTTCAGCAGCAGTTTACAAAAATAAATATAAAAATGAATTATGCATAACTGTAATATTTTATAGTGTTCACTCAACTATTTAGCAATCTGATCAGTGAAACCTATTTCTAATGTGTCAGATTCCACATATGATGATACGGTGGTGGTGATGGAAGAATTCTATAGCACATACTTAAAAACTTATTTTTAGGGTTTTTTAAAAAATATATATTATGGAAGTCTCCCTTACCACCATCTACCATTCTTTTATGAAAAACAAAATCCTTCTTGCTGGTTTATACATCTCAGCAATTACATTAAAGCTAATAAGGTTTTTAATCTTTCTTAGGACCATAGATAATTATAACATTTTATATGTATGCAGCTTAGATATATGAATTGCTAAATAATATCAATCAGGTTTTCAATAATTGCTCTAACCTTTTAAACCTAATTGTTTGGAACAGTCTTCTCTAACACGGTAATTGTCTGTACACTAAAAAAGGAGCAAGACTCGTTTAGTTCAAATAAGACTTTTCTAGAAGCTTTACTGAATTAAATCCAAGATTTCTCAGTCAAGTTGCTGAAAGCAAATACTGCTTTACTCTTACAGATTGATCAGTTTTAAATCTCAAGAGAAGATGTTTCTTGTAGTGGGTTCCTAGTACAGGAATTCATTGACAAAGGTGGCCATTTAGTTCCTTTTATGACAATCTACCTCCAGAACATTTTTTTCCATACATGTTTTTGGCTTCATAAATAAGCTGCTTTGGTCCCATGAGATAATTCTGTTTGAGCAAATACCTGCTTTCATCTATCTTTAGTTAATTATTTCATTAGTGCAGGTTTTATTTCTATTATTTGAATCTTTTCTATTATTTTATATCTTTTCTGTATTATATATTGTAAGTCACCTTCCAAGTCATATGGTAGAAAAGCAACATGCAAATTTAAGAAATGAAATATTGAACTTGGTGGAACTTACTTCTGAGTAAACATGCGTAGGATTGGCATATAACAGCTTTTCTCACAATAAATACAAAATTTGAGTTTTCTCATTAGGTAGCTTCTCTATTTCTGATCAATTCATTTGAAATTACACTAATCGTAAAACTGTTTTCTTAAACATAGGAGAACTTTGAAATCAGTTTTTCAAATAAGAATTTAATTACTTCAATGGCATAATGTTTTAATTTATACAAAAATGTATTTGATCTTCTTTTAATTTCCTCCACCATGTTTACTTGTCTCCTTCCTATCCCCACCCTCACAAAAAATATACTCTTTGGTGTAGAGCTTCTCAGAATGTATCATAAGGAGTTAAATTTTTTACATTCCATCTATTTTTTTTAATTCAACCACTCTGAAAATAGCCTCAAGTCTTTTGAAATGTTAAATGTACAATACCACTAAATATCAATATACAGTTTATGAAGGAGGTATATAAAAGAGTCTCACATATGGATAAGTTTTCACTTGGAAATAAAGTATGTAAACAAAGAGGATTTGCCAGGTATCATCTGAATCATGGCAAACGATGAAAAAAAATCCATGATGACAGGAAGTAGGGTATGTTCCACTGTGTTGGATGTTTCAAGCAAAGACTGGACAGTCATTTTCTAGAGATGGTTAACTGGAATTTCTGCAGAATTGTTGGACTCAGTGTCCTAAATAGCCCTTTCCAATTCTATAATATTATGCGTTTTAAGCCCACAAAAAATTCATAAAGAAACTAACAGCTGCAGTATATGTCAGGTATGCCAAAGGAGATAGGATTAGGCATTCATATCTTTGTCTTAAATAAACAAACCTAGATTAACATCACAAACATTAAAAAGTAGTATTTTTTCTGTTCAGCATACTGTATCTGTGTGCATTACTTAATAGTCCTAGTGTTATAATAAAATATAATACTCACGCAGTATTGAGATCTAGTAAATCTATGGATTTGGTTTTCAGTTCTCCACTTTGAATATATTCCAAAATAATGCCTTTGAAGAAGCAAAACAGTATAATTATGAATTCCATGTTGAGATAGTTTCTAATCATAAGCACTATAGAAATGGGCCTTTCTTTTAATAAAAACTGTTTTCAAGTAGCATTTCTATTGCTGTTTCTGTCACACTGCAGGGCATAAACCAGGGCACCAAAACTTTCAACTAGTTGAATATACATAAACTTGGTTTCCTCAAGGTATAATCCCCTTTCCTATTACCACTTATACTCCATTTCTGAATCGTAGGTGAGAAGGATTTTATAGATGGGTGATTTTGGAGAATTGTTTAAAAAAATCCACTGTTTTGAGCACATACTGTAATAAATAGGCTGGACAGCACTTTGGATTCAATCTTGAAACAATTTTTTGGAGCATGCAGAAGCACAGATATAATACCTACCTGAAATACTGTAAAGCAGTGGTTCTCAAACTTTTCTTCACTATGGACCCCCTTTAAATACCTTTTGTGGTCACAGACCCCCAAGACTTAACTCAAGATTTAAATAATAAAATTTCTTCAAGCCTTTGTGGACCCCCTGTAATGATATCGCGCACTCCCCCAGCAGTCCATGGACAACAGGTTGAGAAGTACTGCTGCAAAGCAATCCTAAGCGATCTCAAGAAAGACATAACTGCTTTAAGGTGTTGTAGAAAGATGCTACATCCGTGCTTCTTCCTACATAGAAGCATATTTTGTAAATAAATGCATCTGGTGCACTATATCAGAGGTCTCCAACCTTTTTGGTTTGGTGGCCCGGAAAGGGAGGCAGGCATTGCTATGTGCGCGTGCAAGCGTATGCGCACGTGCAAACGGGGCTGCGCGGGCAAGAGTGCAGCAAATGTGGCGGCACTAGCACTGGCAGGATGCTATGGGTGGCACTAGTGCCAGTGGGACACTTTGGGGTGGGGTGGCGCTAGTGCCAGCGGGATGTTCAGAGGCGCTAGTGCCAGCGGGATGCTCGGGGAGGCGCTAGTGCTGGGGCAGGATGGTGCTAGTGCCGGCAGGATGCTTGGGGCGGCACAAGTGCGAGTGTGGGGGGATGAGTGCATGCACATGTGCACGTGCACTGGCCATCTCTTTATGCAGCCCGGTAGTGGGCCAAGTAGCTGCGGCCCAGTAGTGGGCCAAACGGCCACGGCCCACAGGTTGGGGACCCCTGCACTACATATTCTAACTAGCTGTATTCCTTGCAGATAATATTTAAAGTCAACTTAGACTTTATTACAATCAACATAGTATAATAGAAACTGCCCTTTACGAGAACAAACCCACAACAAAGTTCTAAAGTTTGAATACTAGAAAAATGGAAATTCCATTCAACATACAGCAAATACTGTCTTTATGATTATTAGTTTGATTTCTGAAACTATACTACAGTACTTGCATGAAACTACATTCACGGCAAGAGCATTTGACCTGTGGACTTCCCAACATAAAAATTATATTCTGAGCCAATCAATTAAATTGGCACTGTTTGAATCATTTGTTAGTACATCTGAAGTATTTAACTATCATCTAATGCATCAGAAAAACTTTTAAACTGCTTTAAAGTGAAAAAGTGATATATACTCTAGGGCACAGAGTTAACAGCATCCAACATAATTATTTTGGTTCTTTGCTCCAACAGTTGCTTTAAAATATTAACAATTTTAATGCATGTAACATTCAAATGAGTTTTTAAAATACTTAAATATTTCCAGCCATATGAAACTGAGTTATAGGAGACAAAGCAGCTTAATTTAAAAAAAAATTAAAACAGTACTTCCATACCAATTCTGTTTACCAATTTGGTTAATCATCTCTCTCTCTCTCTCTCTCATCTATCTATCTATCTATCTATCTATCATCTATCTATCTATCTATCTATCTATCTATCTATCTATCTATCTATCATCTATCTATCTATCTATCTATCTATCTATCTATCATCTATCATCTATCTATCTATCTATCTATCTATCTATCATCTATCTATCTATCTATCTATCTATCATCTATCTATCTATCTATCTATCTATCTATCATCTATCTATCTATCTATCTATCTATCTATCTATCATCTATCTATCTATCTATCTATCTATCTATCTATCATCTATCTATCTATCTATCTATCTATCATCTATCTATCTATCTATCTATCTATCTATCTATCTATCTATCTATCTATCTATCTATCTAATCCCACTTAATTTACTTTCAAGTCCACAACGGGCCTGGTAAACTTCAGCTGCACAATAAAGTCAGGTGCAGTGAAACTTTGCTCTCCATTCGCTCATTGCCTTTTCTCTGGGTCTTTCCTCCTGCACTTCCACCATCCCCGTTCCTGTTGTAGAGCGCGTCCCGCCACTCCACCTTCGCTCTCCCCGTTATCCTTTTCCATACTGCCGGTCCTCCCACAGCCTCCGTTTGCCCGCACCCAAGGCTTTGTCGCTTTCCCCATCGTCACGGTCCTTCCCCGCCGAGCTCTCTTCCCACAGGAGTTCGGCATCCGCAACTGCCTCTCTCCCTCCCTCCCAACTCTGCCGTGAACCTTTCCGCACCCGGCGGGTAATATCGCAGCAAGAACCGCTTCAGCTTCATCTTGTCTCCGGCCACCGAAAACTTAGAACTGGAGTCGTTGTCATAGAAACCAGACAAACCGACGCTCAAGTGCAGTGCGCAGGCGTAGCTGGGTACCAACCGAAAAGGAGGGGTTTGGTTTTCTGCCTCGGGGGCCTCGACCTTGTTACTATGGCAGCAGGAGGCGTGGCATAAGATCGTTGGTTCTTCCGCGACGTCCTAGTGAGCTTTCGGATTTTAAGAGGGAAGTTCAGCAAGAGAGAAAAGGGGAAGTGCAATGTTTGAAACTGAAATGTTTGGAAATGCAAACGCGGGTTTAAAATGCCAAATCGAGTCTTCTCCTGCCCTTTAGACGCGCCAGATTGCTGCTTCTCCCATCTCCGGAAAAGGTGATGAAGACTGGTATAATTCCTGACAGTAATTGAAGGCTGTGTGATTTTACGCATGTTTTCTCGGCAACTATCCGATCCAATTCAATGGGGCTTCCTCGCAACTAAACGTGTCTAGCTGTGGGACTGCCTCGCACAAACATGATTTGATTGGATGATGTTTAATTAGCCCATTTTTCCAAGTTGCAGACAACTCACAAAGCAAGTAGACATTTATTACGCTGAAAAGCTCGGATTTCCTACGTGGTATTCTTTATTCCCTTTTCTCATTTTATCATCAATCTTGTCCCATGTGGAAGTCAGGCATTTACAATAATGCCTGGCCCCAAAATCACCCAATATTCAATACCAGAACAAAGACATATTTGGAGAGGAAGAGACTTTGGATCAGGTACACTTTTCCATTGTGATAAATAGCAACTCAAATCCATATTGGAAAGGCCATATAAGACTTGTTCCTTTACTTTTTTTTCACGTGTACGTGCCTTCAAGTCAGTGTTAACTCATGACTACCTAGTCCTAGTCTAATCCCTGCAATGTTCTAGTCTGCTTCTCAGAGCTGAATAGGTCATCCAGCTTGCTCCATACCTAAAATGGAATGAAAGCTCACCATCTCCTGGTGCTTAAGCACTACACCACGGGTCATGGCTCTTTCAGCCTTCTCCTGTGGCTCCCAGCCTCCTCTGCCATTTGCAGAGAGACAGAGACAGAGAGAGGCACTTGCACCTCTCTCTCTCTCTCTCTCTCTCTCTCATGTGGCCTTACCCCCTCGCGGGACTCCTGATTGGCCCTGCGCCCAGGCGTCCCGCCCCCTGGGAGAAGTGCGGGCAGGAAGTCCCTTTCCTGGGCTGGCCCGGTCCAAGGCGCACGTGGTCGGGGAGCCATGCGTGGCAGCCCCGGGATCCCCCTGGGAACGGCCCACCGGTGCCTCCGCTGAGCGGGCCAGCCCTCCCGCAAGCTGCGGCCCCGACGGAGCACAGCCCCTGCGATCCCCAGCCGGCGCTACTGTTGGCCCCGCTGGCCGGGAAGGCGTGCCGGAATTCCCGGGAAGGAAGAGGGAGACGCAGCAATGGCAGGAGAAAAGAGCTGATATAAAGCCAGCCCAATCAGCTTGTCAGAGAAGAATGTGAGGTGAGCAGAAGATCGGGGTGGGGGAGACAGAAAGAGAGAGAGGGAGGGAGGGAGAAGGGAAGCGCAAGTGCCTCTCTGTTTCTGTCTCTCTCTCGCAAACACACAAACACAGTGAGTGGGGGAAGAGGACTGGCAGACCAAGGGCAGAGAGAGAGAGAGAGAGAGAACAAGTGCCACTCTCTCTCTCTTTCTCTCTGAGCGCGATCACAAGCTCGCTGCCTGCCTAGCTCTCAGGCCCCCTTCTGTGACACCGTCCCCAGGAGTTCCCTTCCCAGCCTGACCGGGGGCTACCGGATACATGCAGTGTTATCTTCATTTTAGATGTCAAAAGGGTTTTGCGGCTCCCAGTGTTTTCTGTGGGAAATGGGTCCAAGTGGCTCTTTGAGTGTTTAAGGTTGCCAGCCCCTGCACTATACCAAGCTGGCTCTGTTCCCTGTGTAGTACCCAGATTTAAAAATATCCCACCTTTGCTTGTAGAAGTAACATACATTCAAAACAACTGAAAGCTTGTTTCTCTCCTCCCCACTCCACAATTGTATTTTTTTAAAGTAATCTATGTTGATAGGCATATTTTGTGACAGCAATTTTTTTTAGCTAAACTGATGTTATATAAAGAAGTATTTCCATTTGCTAATTCTAAATCTCCCTTTGTTTATCCTCTTTGGATAGCCCAAGGTTCAATTTAATAAAAGGGGGAAAAGAATCTTTCTTATTTTCTACTCATTGTGTTTTACATTACTCATTACATTTTACATTGACAGGTGACTCACCCAATTATTTACTTCTCCTTGTAGTTCTCTTTAAAGACCCCTTTAGACTCTCCTACAATTTTCTCCAGCATCAGTCCTATACTCAGAGGACAGAAGAAAATCCTAGAAAGAATAAGTGCTAGCCAGACCATAATACATTTGTTTTAGTAGTCTTTGTTTAACAATAATCTCTTGTAATTTATCTTTTTCTTAGAATATCCTTAGAATATCTTCACATAGTGTCATTTCAGAGTCATTTTACACCAGCGGTCCCCAACCTTTCTGGCTTTGTGTACCGGTGACAGCACAGTGATGGCAGCAGTGGGAGGAGAGGGGGAATGGTTCCGTGTAAGCAGCAGGTAGCCGTGCTTACGTGCGCAGTTCCATTTTCACAAGCAACGAGGGCTGCAATTTGGGCAAGGAGAGCTGCGCGGGTGAGCACCCTCGCCATTTCTGAGTCGGCTGCGCCCCAGGGCTTGGGGACCTGTGTTATGCACAAAGTCATTATTTGTTTGCAACAGGGGAGGAGGAAGGGATAGATACAGAAACGTTGCTTGTATAACCTCTGCATTGTTTTTGTTTTTGTTTTTCATTTTTTTTCCTATCAGAATTACATCTTTCTTCATCTCTTATTCTAGTTCTTCACATACTGGAGGGGAACTCCTTCCTAACTGTTGCTTTCATGGTTTGCTGTATTATAGTCAGGAAATTCCAGTTATGTTATTGTGATTAAACATAACATTGAAATGTCTATGGAGATTCTCAGTCATCCAGGTCATAGTTGTCCCAACTGGACTTTCTTATTTTTCTTTGAAGACGTTTTGCTTCTCATCCATTATGATAACACTGAAATCTGAAAATTCAAATCTGGTAAAGGAACATATTTATTTCTATCCTCAAGAATTGTTATTATGATTATTTCTCTGATCAGAAAACAGATATAAAGTTAGCTTTCACTTACAGACCATTTGTTCAGTGGCTATTTAAAGTTAAAACATACTTTAAAAATAACTTTATGGCCCATTTATAAACACTTATGACTTTTGCAGGATCTCTCAATGACATGATCACGATTACAGTCAGTATGTACTGTAGTGTGCCAGACCTTTGTTTTTTTTCCGCCCCTTGCAGAACAGAGAAATTGGAGAGAAAATGATTACAAGAAAGTAAAGTTCTCTTGTATACATCAAAACCAATACAGTCAAACTAATAATCAAGGGCTGGAAGCTCTGGGCAAGACTATGCAAATAGTTTATAGTACTCTCTTGAAATTTATTTCTCTCCAATGTTTGTGCTGTTGAGAGGAGTGTGAGAAAAAAACCAAGCAATTTCAGTAGTAATCTTTCCTTTGTCTAACCTTTCCCTCCGTTCCCTGTAGATCAGAGAGATTGGAGAGAAAGGGATTTCAGGAGAGTTAGCTGTTTGTATAACATGTCTATGGCTCCCAGCCCCAGGTTGCGATACAATCACATTGGTTTTGATGTATATAAGATAATAAGCAGGCACTCAAGCATTCCAAAGGGTGGGAAATTGGTTAGGATGTAAACAAAAACCAAAGGTGTGAAATTGACTACAGGTAATCCTCTGTTAATGACCACTTGGTCAGTGACTGTTTGAAGTTACAACAGTGCAGAACAAGCAGTGGTTATGACCAGTCTTTAAAATTGTGTGTGCCAGCACTGGCAAAGAACAGTTGGCTCACACTTACAACAATTGTACAACTTGTCCCGAGGTCAAGTGATTGTGATTTGTGACCTTCCCTCTGGGCTTCCCATAAGGAAAGTCAATGAGAATACCAACAGGGAAAGTCACAACTTGCTTGGGTAAATCTTTCCCATATGCACCCCCTCTCCCAGCACTTCTGCACTTTTGCAGTAACTCGCCAGCTAGCTACACACCCTCACATACCCTACCCTACTTGCGCCATGCCTCCAGACCATTCGTATACCCTCCCCCACCCAGCAATAGTTGCTTTAAACTGTGTTCATCCCACATCTTTCCCACCATTCTCATATCCTTGCACTCTTCCCAAGCCTCACTGCATTTGTGTCATACCTCCCCAGCCACCCATGTATCCTTGTGCATCGCAAGCCCCACTGTGCTCATGCACTGCCTGCTGGCCTTTTTGTAAATCATCTAGGACTTGCAAATTCCTGTTAGCTTCTCCACTGATTTTGGTTGTTGCATGTTGAATGAAGTTGTAAGAGGTACTTGCTAAATGATCCACAATCTGTGCTTGACTAGTGCAGGGATTGCCTCACTAAACAATGCAGTCATATGGCACTCGTATCCCAATTGCCATCCTAACTCAACTACCCATAGTCATGACTCTTTCTAGTCGGAAAGCAGAGTTGCAGTCATGTAATTTCCCATTTAGTGACTTCTTTGCTTAGTGTCAGAGTTGTTAGTCTTAATTAGGGTAGTTAAGAACTGTAGTCTACTACAAGTTGAACTCAGATGTTGGTTGTAGTACAAAGGAAGAAAAGGAAAAGGAAATGTAGGCAGCAGAAATATTTAAAACATCAAAGTCAATGCTAACAAATTATTTTCTATAGCTGGTGATTATAGTGGAAAAAAGTGAATTTCACATAGCTGAAAAAGAAAGCATCAGTAAAAAGCCAATAATTTAAAAGAAATCTTTCTAAATATTTAAAAAGAAATCTGCAAGGCTTCAATTAAGCAACTGAGTGTCATGGTTCCGACAGATGAAACTCTTTAAAAGAACTTCGAGGCATTGTTTACCTTAAATAATCTTTTATTCGAGAAACAAAGTATTGGCACTACACAATTAAAACTA